TTTTTTAACAAAAAAACGAAGTCCAGATGACATGATTCAACCTTTTTGTTGTTATATACCTGGATGACTGAGAAAACAAACTTTGTGTTTTTGAAACCATTAGTGAAAAGGCCAGACTTCAGGGGTATCTGAGGCAGGCTTGAAACACAAGAGTCAGGCTGGCTTCTGGGTAATACCAGATGGCTAGGCCTCAGACTGACGAAGCCTCTTGGACGAGGGGCGAAACGTTTCTTTTTTAACAAAAAAAACGAAGTCCAGATGACATGATTCAACCTTTTTTGTTGTTAATGTCCCATTTGGTTAAATTTACAACAAAACTGGTATCAAACCACCTGGGGAAAGTCCCATGGTCGTTCCAAAGGGCTAAATTCTCACAGCCCCATTCTGTTACTGTTCCGTCGTGGTTCAGAATGATTGACAGACATCTGTCCACGCCCCCTCGGTTTGCGGCTCGTTGCGGCTAATTTTGTTCAGCCCAGGGTCAGCCCACAGCCGCAGGATTCATCCATTGAGGATGGACGTAGAATAACGTGCCTCAGCGCGAGTTTATGTGGGAGTGGTTTGGCGTAGATGTGGTGGCGAGCAATATTAGCATAAACGAGGTGGATTATTTAATCAATAATTCCTTTTCTTTAATGTCTATTGAGGAAAAACTGGAGGTAAAGAGGCTGGGGCTGAACAGACGAGTATATTCAAATCCAGCAAAAAGAAAACCGTGCTGTGTAACCGTGCTGAACTTGGCCGGATATTAATTCTGCTCGGTCCAAATAATATCAACCTGCCAGTTCGTTTTTATTCTTCTTATAGTTCACTCTGCATTGTGTTTAATGATGACCAGAAGACGAGTGTTGAACTGAATGATGTTTAATCTGCATAAAAACAAAACGTGCACTGGTCATAATCTGGGCTCATCGCAGCGGCACCTCGTGCCCATATTCTCATTGGATGGAACTGCTGTACATCTGTAACAAACCCCTGTCTAAACGGGAGCTTATATACACACAAGAGAGTTCTTTAAATTATTTTTCAAAGGTTAGAAATATGATCAGTTTGTAAACAACAGTAAAATAAAACTCGCTCCGACATGTAAATGGACTATACTTATATAGCGCCTTTCTATATTATTTCAAGATTCTAAAAATGTTTTACACTACAATCTGTCTCCTCATTTACCCATTCATACAGCACTCTACTAGATCTCTACAAATGTAATTGAACAAATCATTCTAAAGAGACTAATCGGTGCTTTAGGTCACATTCATACACTGATGGACACACATCAGAGGCTATGAGGGGTTCAGTGTCTTGCCCAGGAACACTTCAGCATGTGACTGCTGGTGGATTCAAACCCCCGACTCTTGCATTCGAGGGCAACTGCTCTAACCACTCAGCCACAGCCGCCCCATGAGCCATGTCAGCTCAGAGGTGCAGGTGGGTGGAGCATGCTGTATTTAATAAACAAAAATCAGCTGTTCCGACCAAAACTTCAAAACAATTTGCCACTCACACACTCCTTCATGAAAATTAACACCAAACAAAACTGAAATGTGTCACTGATTTGACTTCACGTAGGAAAATAAAGAGTCTCTGAAATAACTTAATTTCACCTATTTCATACGAGGAAAAGAGATCTGTCAATAATAAAAATAAAAAATGTCCAATGAAAAGTCTGCAGTTACGCTCTCAAAAATATAAAGATACAAAAAAAATAATTCATTGGGGGCCATTCACCAGTCCTGGTCTTTTAAAACAAAAAGAAAATGATAAGGAAACGTTCACCAGGTCAGAGTTTCTATTCCCGGGGCTTCCTTCTCCAGGTCTGGAGCGCACTCCGCCAAAGACACTCCAGGAAACAGGACCGATTCTTGTCCCGTGTGGCAATTATTTGAGTTGAATATGAAGTCCTCTTGAACCCTCCAGGATTGGGTCAAACTTCACCGTGAAGCCCGAAACATCAGCTATCCTGGGCAAACTCTGGAGCTCCACCAGTCCGTATGCTGCGTCTCTCCATCTGCTTCGCCTGCACCCCCCTGCTGTCAAACTCATGTCTCATTTTATAAGTTCCGGAAAAGCTGTGACCCAGTTTTCTCCCTGGACTTTGAGGATAAAATACACATCT